TGCTGCGGAAACTACGTTGTAATTATTTTACTTCTGGTTTTGCTGACAACTATATTCAGGTAGGATGGTTAAATTCCGCCTTTGCCAGTCCCAAGCCCGGATGAAAAAGGAGGAGGGGAAGCAGTAACAAGCTCGCTAAAAAACCTGGGTTCAGCTGGCCCGGCTGATAGTACCCTGTAAGGGCTCCTAATCTAGGAATACAGGATGAGCAGCGTTTGTACTCCATGTTAGGAGCGGCTGCACATGGCGTCTGTCCCTAATGTCAGAGGCGGCCATTTCTTTTGGAGCTAAGTCGGCCTGCCACTGAGTAGTGCTCCCAATCTTAATGACAAAGGCAGACGCATTCTACTTCACCCAGTCATGATGGTTGTCAAATACCATCAAGGGTCACAACTTGATACCCTAATGATTGAGTGGAGATAAGAAAGAAGAAGAAGAAGGTGAGATGGTAGCGTTACACATATATTGCCCTTCAAGTTTTTCAATTATTAGGCTTTTTAAAATTGAATTTTAATATTTTTAACAATAAAATTTACAAGCATATTTTAAATCTAAATTTCATGATTTTATAAACAAACCTTACAGTGAGTAACTGAATCGATTTTATCATAGAAAGTTTGACGATAAATTTTTAACATTAGAAAATTAAAAGGGGCAGTTATGGAATGTCATATATTTATTAAATTTATCCAATTATAAATACATAGTGTGATCAATAATTTCCAGGAATGCTAAATATTTAAAGAAATACAAAAGTATAACGAAGTTTTATTTAAAATTTCTCAAAATAATCACCGTCACTATCTATACACTTGTTCCATCTTTTTTTCCAGATATCAAAACACCTCTGAAAATTCTCATCTTTCAGGCTTTTCAAAATATTCTTCGTATTCTCCTTTATTTCAGGTATTGAGTCAAATCGTCGCCCTTTTAAGACATTTTTAATTTAGGGTAATGGAAGAAGTCGTAGTAAAGCAATTCAAGGTTTAGACAAATAGAGTTGTACAGTGACGGCCGTATGTGGCCATGTGTTATCATGATGCAAGAGCAATTTTTCTGATTACATTTTTCAGCTCGTTTCTGATACACAGCCTACCTTAAACATCGCAATATATCAAGATAGTAATATTGATTGCCTCTTAGTCTCGTGATCATATCCGTACCCCATGTTTCATCTCCCATGATAACATTTTGGAGCCGATGGGGATCAGAATAAAACATTTCGACCATGTTTTTGCACCTACTTTGTGATGCTCTTTCTGCTCATTCTTTAGAAGATGTGGGACAAATATAGCTGGGGATCGTTTCTTATCGGTAAAGGTCTGCCAGTGTGTAGATCATCTTTGATCCCTGTTCGACCAGCTTTGAATCGTGCAAACCATTCAAATGTCCTCGATTGTGATAGGGCATCTTATTTAAAAGCCTGCTTCGACCTTTGAAATGAATCGGAAGCTGTTTTCCCTAATTTAAAGCAAAACTCAATGCAGGCTCGTTGTTTTTCAATACAGTCCCTACTAAAGTTAGAAAAGGTTCTGATATACTCGAGCTTATAAATTTGAAAAACATCAGCACCTGTGTCTGTGTGATCAGTTATTTTTCTACGTGTTGATAAATGTTTTCTCTATAAGGTCCTTATAAATTATTCCATTATTTTCAATATTTTACGTGATCCAGTCTCATTCCTGGAAATTATTGATCACACGTTGTAATATATGCTCAATAAATTATTTTAAAACTAAATAAATGAGCTAATATAGAGCCTATTGTACTTTTTTTTTTGCTTATCCCTAGTACACGTGGTACAGGCCATGGTAATCATGGTGGGTAGAAGTAGATGACTGCTTTTACTGTAAGTGCACCACATGTCTACACATGTGAAAAGCAGTTCGACTTTGCACTTACAAATGTGCCAGAACCCCGTTTGGTTACTTGCACTCGCTGGTGGGGTTGGAATTTTGCAAGAATCGGGGGCCATTGGAGCATTTTTTTTCCCCATTATACTTAAATATAGAAACATTTTTAAAACAATAATAAACAAAAGAGGAGCTTCTTGTGTAGATTTCTTTATTACCGCAAGCTTTCGAACAGAACGTTCTTCAACGGGCGTGTCTAATTTACTCATCAACCGTCAACATGGATTCACAAAATCACAACTACCACGGCATTAACTGAAATAGTGAAAATAGCTCTCGAACATAAAATTAAAGAATACACAGCCATAATTACAGTTGATATAAGCGAAGCTTTTGACAATGCCTGGTGGCCAAAAGTGATAAAGAGACTGGATGTCCACGCTTCGATTATTATACTAATACACTTTGTGAATTTCAGATATTCTTCCTCTATAAAACTACTAAAAAACTAACTGAAGGATGTCCACAAGGAGGACCACTATCTCCCACATTATGGAACATACTGATTGAAGAATTTCTAAAAGAGGTAAAATCTTCCCAATTACATTCGTGGTAAAGACAAAAACATTCAGGAGATGTTTCTTCATCAATTTATTATGACATCAAGCTTTCGGGCATAGCGAGGCCCTTCTACAGGATCAAATGTATAAGAAAAATGATACACTATATACACGAAGAAAAAATTTTTGCATATGGATTATAAGAAATTAGTTGTAAAAAATATTTTGAAATAATCGGTGATACTTAGAATTTTTGTTTAAAAAGAACATCGAGACATAAGCAAATTAATAAAATTTGTTAAGATGAGAAATATACGATTATTAAAAGGCCTAAGGTAAAATGCATTAAGACTAAAAGACGCTCCATAATACGACGGAAACCATGATAAAAACCATAAGTATTTACAGGGTAAAACAGTATTAAAAGGATATTAAAATATATTAAAATAAAATGAAATAAGCGGGTAACATCAATGGCTATTTATGTAATAAGCTTATATACGGATCAGGTACATCTATATGTCTATTTAAGCTATTATACCTCAGAGATAGCAAGGCCTCGACAACCAATCTTTTGTGTTTATGTGGTATATTAGAATAATGTGATCTTGGATCAGTTGTGTTACACATTTCACAGACAGGGCATAGTTTTAACACAACTGATCCAAGATCACATTATTCTAATATACCACATAAACACAAAAGATTGGTTGTCGAGGCCTTGCTATCTCTGAGGTATAATAGCTTAAATAGACATATAGATGTACCTGATCCGTATATAAGCTTATTACATAAATAGCCATTGATGTTACCCGTTTATTTCATTTTATTTTAATATATTTTAATATCCTTTTAATACTGTTTTACCCTGTAAATACTTATGGTTTTTATCATGGTTTCCGTCGTATTATGGAGCGTCTTTTAGTCTTAATGCATTTTACCTTAGGCCTTTTAATAATCGTATATTTCTCATCTTAACAAATTTTATTAATTTGCTTATGTCTCGATGTTCTTTTTAAACAAAAATTCTAAGTATCACCGATTATTTCAAAATATTTTTTACAACTAATTTCTTATAATCCATATGCAAAAATTTTTTCTTCGTGTATATAGTGTATCATTTTTCTTATACATTTGATCCTGTAGAAGGGCCTCGCTATGCCCGAAAGCTTGATGTCATAATAAATTGATGAAGAAACTTATCTCCTGAATGTTTTTGTCTTTACCATGATTGAAGAATTGTTAAAAACTAATCTAGATTTTTTAAAGCAACTGCGGTGTATGATTATAAAGTAATGCTAAAGCCTTCCCGCATAAGTTTCTTTTTTGTGAAAATCAATCTTAATTTCAAAGAGAAATATGTACTATTTCTAACTTTTTTGGATGACGTATGAAAAGGTTGAATATATGAAGAGTAATGGTCTATATATGATTGGATGACGTATGAAAGGGTGAAAATGTGAAGAGTAATGGCGAACGGAAAAAATGAAAGTGTCCAGGGGCGGGAATCGAACCCACAACCTTCTGCTTACCGGGCAGGTGCCATGTCCACTAGGCTACCCTGGACGTATTCCTTCCGTTCGTAACTAATACTTAAAGTAACATTTTTTAAAGCAACTGCTGTGTATGATTATAAAGTAATGCCAAAGCCTTCCCGCATAAGTTTCTTTTTCTTTTTTTGTGAAAATCAATCTTAATTTCAAAGAGAAATATGTACTATTTCTAACTTTTTTGGATGACGTATGAAAAGGTTGAATATATGAAGAGTAAAGGTCTATATATGATTGGATGACGTATGAAAGGGTGAAAATGTGAAGAGTAATGGCGAACGGAAAAAATAAAAGTGTCCAGGGGCGGGAATCGAACCCACAACCTTCTGCTTACCGGGCAGGTGCCATGTCCACTAGGCTACCCTGGACGTATTCCTTCCGTTCGTAATTAATACTTAAAGTAACATTTTTTAAAGCAACTGCGGTGTATGATTACGTTCGCCATTACTCTTCACATTTTCACCCTTTCATACGTCATCCAATCATATATAGACCATTACTCTTCATATATTCAACCTTTTCATACGTCATCCAAAAAAGTTAGAAATAGTACATATTTCTCTTTGAAATTAAGATTGATTTTCACAAAAAAGAAACTTATGCGGGAAGGCTTTAGCATTACTTTATAATCATACACCGCAGTTGCTTTAAAAAATGTTACTTTAAGTATTAGTTACGAACGGAAGGAATACGTCCAGGGTAGCCTAGTGGACATGGCACCTGCCCGGTAAGCAGAAGGTTGTGGGTTCGATTCCCGCCCCTGGACACTTTTATTTTTTCCGTTCGCCATTACTCTTCACATTTTCACCCTTTCATACGTCATCCAATCATATATAGACCATTACTCTTCATATATTCAACCTTTTCATACGTCATCCAAAAAAGTTAGAAATAGTACATATTTCTCTTTGAAATTAAGATTGATTTTCACAAAAAAGAAACTTATGCGGGAAGGCTTTAGCATTACTTTATAATCATACACCGCAGTTGCTTTAAAAAATGTTACTTTAAGTATTAGTTACGAACGGAAGGAATACGTCCAGTGTAGCCTAGTGGACATGGCACCTGCCCTGTAAGCAGAAGGTTGTTTGGTTCGATTCCCGCCCCTGGACACTTTTATTTTTTCCGTTCGCCATTACTCTTCACATTTTCACCCTTTCATACGTCATCCAATCATATATAGACCATTACTCTTCATATATTCAACCTTTTCATACGTCATCCAAAAAAGTTAGAAATAGTACATATTTCTCTTTGAAATTAAGATTGATTTTCACAAAAAAGAAAAAGAAACTTATGCGGGAAGGCTTTAGCATTACTTTATAATCATACACCGCAGTTGCTTTAAAAAATGTTACTTTAAGTATTAGTTACGAACGGAAGGAATACGTCCAGGGTAGCCTAGTGGACATGGCACCTGCCCGGTAAGCAGAAGGTTGTGGGTCCGATTCCCGCCCCTGGACACTTTTATTTTTTCCGTTCGCCATTACTCTTCACATTTTCACCCTTTCATACGTCATCCAATCATATATAGACCATTACTCTTCATATATTCAACCTTTTCATACGTCATCCAAAAAGTTAGAAATAGTACATATTTCTCTTTGAAATTAAGATTGATTTTCACAAAAAAGAAAAAGAAACTTATGCGGGAAGGCTTTAGCATTACTAATCTAGATGATAACAGTGAAACAGTTGCTATGCTGACGATATAACTATAGTATGCTGGAACAAAGCCATGATGAACTAAAGACAACACTTAACAATGTACAGTATAAGCTCAAAGCGCCTGCACACTTTTGGTTTCTGTTTGCAAAGTTTCACTTTGCAGTGCCGTTGCGCCATGTCACAAGTGTTGTTTATTTTTTTACAGGGGAATTTAGGATTCGCACGCTAATTAATAATATTATTTTATTTTTAATTTTCAGCATTGAAATATTTTAGTTATTTTAAAATTTAAAGATAATTTCCTTTTATATAAATACATCTTCATAAAACGTAGCCACAATGATTATGATAACATTTTATTTCAATATTCCATTTCCATGTTAATATAAAAGATTTAAACACAAAATCAATAACACCTGCAGCAGCAGTGGATGTCTTTAATACAATAAAAACTTTGTCATTTAAACACATTCCAGAGGAAGAAAGACATGCATGTTTTTTTAAATAGACCATCTGGAATACATCCAAATTAGGATTTCAGTTCAAAAACAGACATCTTTAAAGGAATTTTTTAAAAGATCTTCATGATTATTTTTAAATATTATTTTTAAATTTTCTTTTTATTTTCCATATTTATTTCCTTTCAACTGCTATATTTTTCAATTAGAATAAAATATTATTTGGAATTATTTATGTTTCAAAAAAATGTATTATTGCCATTTTGTCCCTGATACTAAAGTTAACCATGAAAATAAAAAAAAAATAATTACAAAAAAAGTACACACACAATGGTTTTAATTAATGTGATCAATTTATATTACAAAGCTTTTAAAAAATATATTATATTGGCAAATTAGATGATTAGCTAATCATCTGAATAACTTTAATTCAACACTTCTTTTAATTCAACCGAAAGCTCTGATCCCTTGGGGTGTTGAATTAAAGAGGTTCAACTGTATTTGGCTATTGGGATTAGATTGGTAAATTAAGTGACCAACTTATATAATTGTCTATATGGATATTTTTTACTACTAAGTAAACATGTCACAGGCCATGATAATCATGGGATGTAGTTAACTCAAGTTAGGAAGGATAGGTTACTTTTAGTATTTGGCTATTGGGATTTGATTGGTAAATTAAGTGACCAGCTTATATAATTGTCTATATGGATATTTTTTACTTCTAAGTAAACATGTCACAGGCCATGATAATCATGGTATGTAGTTAACTCAAGTTAGGAAGGATAGGTTACTTTCAGTATTTGGCTATTGGGATTAGATTGGTAATTAAGAGACCAGCTTATATAATTGTCTATATGGATATTTTTTATTTCTAAGTAACCATGTCACAGGCCATGATAATCATGGAATGTAGTTAACTCAAGTTAGGAAGGATAGGTACTTTCAGTATTTGGCTATTGGGATTAGATTGGTAAATTAAGTGACCAGCTTATATAATTGTCTATATGGATCCAATACAGTATTAGAGCTCTGAGAAGCGGTCTGGTGGATTAAATTGGCGAAACCGCTGGGAGGGTTCACCACTGATGAGCCAAGCCCTCCCAATATATATTTTTTCATCGCAGTAAGGACAGTAGAAGTTTTATATTATGTATAAAAGAAACATTCGCGCTTTTAAATCCTTTTATTTTATATATATAGATGGCGCATTATTGCTTTGTGTTAATTTATGCCTAACTGGCCTTGTATTTATAGTTTGCGGAAGAGCATTGCTCGATGCAAATATTTAAATGTAATGCTACTGTTCTATAAGCTTATGTCCATAGTTTACTTGAAAACCATTTCTAAGATTCCATCCTTCAGTGTAGCATATAAAAGCAGAATGATCCAATACAGTATTAGAGCTCTGAGAAGCGGTCTGGTGGATTAAATTGGCGAAACTGCTGGGAGGGTTCACCACTGATGAGCCAAGCCCTCCCAATATATATTTTTTCATCGCAGTAATGACAGTAGAAGTTTTATATTATGTATAAAAGAAACATTCGCGCTTTTAAATCCTTTTATTTTATATATATAGATGGCGCGTTATTGCTTTGTGATAATTGTTTATATTGATATTTTTTACTTCTAAGTAAACATGTCACAGGCCATGATAATCATGGTATGTAGTTAACTCAAGTAGGAAGGATAGGTTACTTTCAGTATTTGGCTATTGGGATTAAATTGGTAAATTAAGTGACCAGCTTATATAATTGTTTATATGGATATTTTTTACTTCTAAGTAAACATGTCACAGGCCATGATAGTCATGGTATGTAGTTAACTTCAAGTTAGGAAGGATAGGTTACTTTCAGTATTTGGCTATTGGGATTAAATTGGCAAATTAAGTGACCAGCTTATATAATTGTTTATATGGATATTTTTTACTTCTAAGTAAACATGTCACAGGCCATGATAATCATGGTATGTAGTTAACTCAAGTTAGGAAGGATAAGGTTACTTTCAGTATTTGGCTATTGGGATTAAATTGGCAAATTAAGTGACCAGCTTATATAATTGTCTATATGGATATTTTTTACTTCTAAGTAAACATGTCACAGGCCATGATAATCATGGTATGTAGTTCACTACAAGTTAGTGGTACACTAAAGAGAGTCCATGTGGCACAACCATATTTTATTCAAACAACCATACAAGTGATTAGAAATAAATCCCATTCAATCAAACATACTGGTCTAGAACAATAGGATATTTTATAATGCCATGATGATAGTTTTATATAAAAGTGGGTTATTTATAAAAATAATGGAAATAACAGAATATTTAACATAAAGAGATACCAATTTCTATATTTTGCTACAAGGTAAACATATCTCTGTTCTTTGATGTAAAGAGGGTTTAATTGTGGGGATACAAATGAATTATATATTCAATTGTTAAGCCTTCTACATGCTTCAGGAGGAGCATTCTAAGGCAGGACTCATGATTAGGTGTCACCAAGTGCCCACTGCGGGGGAGGGTCAAGGAGAGGCGCAGGCAGGGCGAGTGAGCACCCCGGGGAAGAAGAGGGCGAGAGCGTGGTTAGAGAGGGCACCAAGGAAGCACCAAGTACAACGCCAGGCTCCAAGCAAGTCTGCTGGAAAGCAAAATTGCAGTGGCGAGGGTCAGACCGTGAACGGGTAGGTTGAGAGGAGGGCTGGAAGAAGACCGGGCAGGGGAGGTACAACATTCAGGCTCAGAGGCACCTGGAATTTTTTTTTTAAATTTATTTAGAAATATTTTAATTATTAGTATATGGGTTACTATTATTATTATTCTTTATTTATTTTTTAATTTATTTATTTATTTATTTTTTTTTTATCCAGGTGATCAAAGAGATAAGCAGGTAGGGAAAGAGAGGGGGAGATATTTACAAGGGGAGCACGCAGGGAGCACAGGCAAACAGCAACAAGGGAAAAGGGAAAAAAGGGTATGTACAAAAGGAACAAGGGAAGGGCAAAAAGGGGGTAACAAGAAAGGTCAAAAAAGGAGTAAGGAAAGGGCAAAGAGAAGACAAGGGGTAAGTGTGGGCAAAATTAAGTAGGGGAAGAAGGGTATTTACATGAGAAGAGAAAAGAGTATAAAACAAAGAGTAAAAGGGAATGTGAAAAAAGAAAAAAAAAATTAATAAAACAAAATATAAAAAAAGGGGGGGGGGGGAAAGGAGAGTGTGCAAAAGAAGAGAGCAATGTACAAACAAGAAAAAAAAGTGGCAAAAGTCCACAGTTCAAAGATAAGTGTTGAATGTGATGGCGACAGTCCAATAGGTTGAGGGGTGAGTAGTAAGGAGGAGGTGAGGGTGAGTGAGGGGTGTGAGGGATGAGAGGGTGTTTAGTGGAGGTGTCAGAGTCGGAACTGGAGTGTGGGATGTTGGATGGGATAAACCTATTTGATGGTGGGTGGCGAAGTCAACAGTGAGGGCCCAGGCTTAGCAAGAGGAGAAGAGCTGAGGGAAAGAAGTAGGGATGTGACCGAGGTCAGAGAGGCATTTATTAAAAAAGGTGGCGCGAAGGGAGTCGAGGTTTGGGCATTCAAAGAAAATGTGGTCAATGGTTTCGGGGGCTTGGTTGCAGTGGGGGCAGGTGGGATCGAAGGGGGGAGGGGTTTTCCTATAAGGGAAAGCGGAAATGAAAGTATGGCCGGTGAGGAGACCGGTGGCGATAGCAGAGCTTGGGAGGAGGAAGCTATGGGAGGAGGAGAGGGAGCTGGGAGTGAGGCCGAGTTTAAGAAAGAAGCTGGGCTTGGCCGAGATAAATTCATCATCCCAAATGGACCAGAAATGGTGGAAGAGGAATTTGTGGTGCGTAGTTTTGGGGGCAAGGGTATATTGTGGTGGGAGAGAAGGGGCGATGGTGGCGCCTTTAGCAAGTGTGTCGGCTTGGCAGTTGCCAAGGTTTCCTGAGTGGCCTTTGACCCAGTGAATGGTGAGGTTGCGGGAGGGGAGGAGGGAGTAGAGGAGGGTTTGGCATTGGGCAATGAGGGGGTGAGGGGAGTGGGGGGAGGAAAGGGCAGAGAGGAGAGAGAGACAGTCGGAGGAGATGGCTGCGGAGAAGGAAGGGGGGAGGCTGCAGAGATCGGAGAGGGCGGACCGAAAGGCGAAGCATTCAGCCTGGAAAATGGAGCAGTGGGAGGCCAGAGGGATGGAGAGGTTAAGGGGAGGAAAGCTAGAGGAGAGAGGAGGAGAAGAGAACCTGGGTACGCCGGCCCCAATGTCGCTCCGCAACTTGGAGCCATCGGTTGTAGTATTCGAGGTCGGGAGCGGAGGGAGGGAAGAAGTGAGAAAGAGAGGTCAGGGA